TTAATGAATAACAACCCTTTTACTCTCAGACAAAGCACATTGTAAAGGCAATTAGACCTGCTTTATCTGCCAAGCTTAAGCCACTCTCCTATTGTGGTAAGGTTGCATTTCTTTCTTTTTTCTACAAATACTAATATGGTGAATGCTCAAATGAGCTATCTCTATTAAAATAAATCAAAACTCATTCTTATTTGGCTTCTTATTCAACAAGTTGCATCCTTTTACTGTATCTGTCCCTTCATGCTACAAAAACTTTTATTAATCCAGTGTAGTTCCTTGCATATCAAAAAAACCTTATAACTCTTACCTATCTTTATGTTTTCCTTTTTTATACAACCTACAACTTTTTGAGTCTTCGTTTAACCATTACTTAGTATTTTATCTTATTCTCTATTTAAAGTAACTCATAACTTAATAGTGGTTGCTTGCAATCTTGTTGGAAGTAAATTAGAGTTTAAAAATATATAAATAGTAAATGTAAGCATAAAATTGTAATATATAAAGTATTATAAAAATCTTTTTTAGCCCCGGCTATCAACCCCTGTTAAATTTTATAATTTTGTAGGGTTTGGGTTTGCAAAAAGTCTTATTTTCAGCCAGAGGCAGGCCGGGGCCCTGGTCACTTACTAGCTGTTGTCTATACTTTCAAAACTATTTAACAAGTGCTAATCAGAGTCTTGTTTTCCAGCCTACTGGAAAGCAACATCTGTTATCCCTATTTTTAAAAATTCAAGAGAGCCATCTGACTTGTCTAACTACCATCCCATTAGTCTTCTTCCTATCACAAACAATGTTTTTTTGTCTTTAGTTAACAAACACTTGATCTCTCATCTTGAACCTAATAACTTTCTGATTATCAATATGGATTTTGATCTTCTTATTCTGCTGCTACTTTGTTAACAGTAATGACCAATAGGTTTTATGTGCATAGTATAGATAGGGAGAGGTTAAGGCTATCACTCTTGATATTTCTAAAGTCTTTGATAAAATTTGACATGCTGGTCTTTTCCATAAATTCTTTTCTTACTATGTATCAGGTAGCATCTTTAAAAGGATCCCAAACTACAGAGACATGATGTGTTTATATTAAAGAAAATGATTTTTAAAAAATGTTATTAGTTTGTTAAAAATTGAAATGTTAAAAATTTTATTGAATAAAAAAAAAGAATAAATGCATACCAAGAAAATTTTTTTTTTTTGGATTCTAGTGGGCTAAATAGTCCGTTTTCTAGTCGGCCAAATAATCTTTATAATATACGCCATAATCTATAATATAATTATAATATACCCCACAATTTACAGACTACATAATTGTTTTAAGCGTCTTACTAAGAATTTTAGTATATTATGTCTTTGATTTTTTTGTTTATTTAAAAAACCCATCTTTTTAAAAAACAAAAAAAATCAATGACCTCATGTACTAAATAATTATAAAATACACTTAAATATATATAAAGTCTGTAGATTACAGCATCTATTGTGAAGACTTTTGGCCTACTACAAAATAGCAAAGGTGAGCTTCAACTAAAAAAAAATAGTTTTTATTGGTATGCATTTATTCTTTTGATTTAATCAAAAAAATTAGCTTAAATGTTTTTTTATATCATTCTTATAAATATGAACACAACATGTCTCAGTGGTTTGGGATCCCTTTAAGATTATTGAATCTTTTTTTATCAATCATAGTATAAAAATTGTCCTTAATGGACAGCACTCTTCTTTATTTCCTGTAACTTTCTCAAGGGTTTCTCAAGGTGCTATTCTTGGCCTTGTACTTTTATATTAACAATCTCATATATTCTCATGATACTACCACTTATTCTTGTCTTCTTAACACAATGTGACAATACTGACAACATTATGTCAATATTGTTACATTGACATAATGTTGCTTCTCTTTCTCTTTTCTATAAGTACTACAATTGGTGCTGCTCTAAAGAGATAGCGTCTCTTGTGCCATCTACTAAATTAATTCTTGTGTTACTCGCCATTCAATTAAGTCTCATTTTGTACTGTGACTGTTTCTAAGTGCAACAGACCATTTAAAAGATTGCAAACTAATTTGCAATCTTTTAAGTGGTCTGTTAATTGTTATCTTGCTTTATAAACTTCATTTTTTTTTCTTCCAGTTACTTTGAACTCTAGCGGTTGCTTGCAGCCTTGTTGGAAGTAAAGATATTTAGAGAAAAAACTCCAATTTTAACAGAATTCTGGACACTTAATGAAGTTAAAGCAATTTTAAAATATGATAGCATCTGTATGATATTTTGTTGACTACGTCATACTTCCATTAAATAATCAGGTCTGCAAATTATGAAAAGACAAACAAAATTAAAATGATAAATTCTGTGGTATCATAAAATATAAGTTTATAGCAAAAAACCCAAACGGAAGATTCTTTTTTTTTTATAAAAAAAATCTTTTTAAAATCACAATCGTTTGTCCAAACTTTAATTAGAGTTTAAATAAATGTGTTTTTTATGTGAAATGAACATTATAGTTTAACAATATAAAAAAGAATTCGAATAATTTATATTTGCTTTAACAACACTGAGCATGATCAAAATGTTTTCAAAGGTATTTTTACTGGTTTTATTCTTAGGGCCTATAAGATTTTCAGTAAGCAATATTTACAACAAGAAAATGATTTTCTAATACAAGTATTTGCTGAAAATGTTTATAAACAATCTAAATTAAAATAAATAGTTCTAAAATATAAAACAAAAACATAAAAATCTTTTTTCACAAAAAAAAACTTGTTTAATGATTTGAAGATAGTTTTGTTACAGTGGATACCTGAGATAAGCCCAAAACTTAAAAAAATATATTGGAATTTTGGTTACAGACCTGTCTTTAAATCTAGTTTTAATTTAGAAACAATATTAACAAGTAAAAATAAATCTGTATTTCCATGCTTCAGCAAACCAGGTGTTTATAAACTAAATTGTAGTTGCAGTAAACCATATGTAGGTGAAACTGGTTTAAAAATGTCCACACAATTTTTACAACACCAAAATTGATTCATGACATGAAATAGAATGATAATGGTGTATTAAATCATGAAAAATTTTGCCAAAGAAATATTTATTAGACTTTTGCTAAAGTTTTAGTATTGAGCTCTAGTAAATTTGAAAAAAAAATTAGGGAAGCTTTGGATATACAGTACCAATAAACTAGCCCATATGACTTAATGGGTACAAATTTGGATGATGGTCAATACCTAAACACAGGTTTTTAGAAACCAATGATGCATTTTATTCCAACTAAAAATTGATGTTTAATATAATGTTTTCTTTAACAAGTTTTTTAAACGTTTTTTGTAAAAATGTTTAGTTTTATAGTCTAATGATGAGGCAATTTAGAAGTCTCAAAATATTACTAATAAATAAATAATATAGTTTAATAAATAACTTGGTTTTAACATTTATATATATATATATATATATATATATATATATATATATATATATATATATATATATATATATATATATATATATATATATATATATATATATAAATAGTATTGCATACTAAGGTAAGCAATCTGACGTCATACTGAAATAGCCTGCTGCTGGGGGCTTCAGTACATACATCGACTGACAAATAGCCTGACTCACAGTGGAGTGATGCTACATCGACTGAGGGTTTGGGATGGGGGAGCAATCGCTTTATTCATCTTCTTTTTTTTTTTCTTCTTTTTCGAAAAAACGGTACGGCTTAAGGTAAGCAGAAAAAGTGAGCAAATGCTTATCAAAACACGCTTTAGTATATATATATATATATATATATATACACCTATAATTTTTCAATAGACCTTAGAGAAAATTTAAAGAACTAAAGTAAGTAAGTATCAAGTCCTATAATTCTACTTTTGAATTCAAAAATATTTTGCAATATGAGTGAGGTAAAAATAAACCAGTTATGAAACATAAAAGTAATCTGAAAATTTTTATATGGACCCTTAGAGTACATTATTAAAGAGTCGACTATATTGATTTTTTACAAATAAATTCTAATACTAATCAAAGTTAAAAAATAACTTATTTAAAAAAATTTACCTTAATACAAATTAGATAATTTTATAAAAATTTATAACTTATTTAGCATTTCTAAAAATATTATGTAAAACATAGTTAAAAGAAAAACAAAAGTGTTTATGAGATGCTTTTATTTAAAAACAAACAAAAAAATATAAAGTAAACAGTGCACTTTACAATTAACATTTCAAAATAAAAATTGGCACAGCTTAACTACTCTTAGGTGCCTAATATAGGATGGGGCAGGAATTAAAGGCTGGGTGGGAATTTGTCTAGATCTAATAAACAGGTGAATGTGAATTTTGAATTTATTTTTATCTTATGAGTTTATATTTTTTAACTTTAAAAGCCAGTTTAGTTTTGAGATGCAGTTTCTTTGTTGATAATAAGTAAAAATAATTTGATAAAGACATCTATTTTTAAGAAAATAAGGCTTCCCATTTTCTAATAGTTCAACATTACCAGCAATTCAATACTTCTTGCTTAATAATTCTTTAGAAATTCCCAATAGAATTCTCTGGCAGCAGTGCTTATATGGAAATTATATTTAGTCTTTGTCATATTATGCTGTATAGCATAAAGTCAGCTTCTTCATATTCCTTAACATTCCAAAAATAGTTGCTAAACTTGAAACTTTATTGCAACTTTTTTTAACCTTTCTTAAATTTCCTTAACTTTTCAATTTTTAATTAACAGTTAATTAACAGCCTATAAATGATTGATCTGGTGCAAAACTTGACTAAATAGTGGTTTGTTACAATTTACCTTTTTTATTTTCATTTTTTTATCATAAAACACAGACATAATTTTAAATTTTTTCTTTTTTTAAATGAATTTAAATTTGCAAAAAAAAAAGATTTTCACAGAAAAAGAAATAAATGATATTTAATAAGTTGGCAGTGATTCAATTTTATGCTTGTGCCAATTTTTTTTGACATACCTTATTACAAAACTTATTACCTGCTGTCGAATGACCATGTTCAACAGATTTTTTTTCATCTGCATTTTCATTTGTCGCTTCATGAACAAGTATATCTGCATCAATAGCAAAAGGTATTATTTCATCACTATTACATGTATCTCCTAATATAACTATTTTTCTTCCTTTTTTTGCAGGTCCCAAGCATTGCTCTGGAAGAATAATATCTCCATTAGCTAATGTTACAGGTTCTCCCATTTTTAATTTTCCAAATAATGGCCCAGCTGGAACACCTTTTGAATTTAAAAATAAAGTATTAAGCTTTCCTGGGAGATCCTTTTCTTTTAAGACATAACCAATACATGGTATTGAATGTTTGAGGGGAACAGCTATTACAGTCAAAAATGTTGTCTGGCATACATCAAAATATCCATCATATTCAAATTGAATTTCTTTCCCTTTTGTCTCATTTGGGTGCAATGGCAGTTCCACCTTTGAAATGTCTGGAATTAAAACTTTGGAATCAAAATTATTAGAGACACCTAAAAAATAAAATAGGTAATGTTGCTGAATAAAAAACAGAATAAATGTCATCCGCCATAAAAACTAAACTAACCTTGAAAAGATGGGATCATTATTTCATGGACAGAATAACTAAAACTAAGCAATGAACAGGACAATAATAAGGAAGCACGAACAAAGTTTTTTAAACCAATTGGACCATATATGTCAACATGATCAATTGTATCATTTTGGTTGAACCCAATGGTGCAAAGTAGACCAGGCAAACCAAACAAATGATCTCCATGTAAATGAGTAATAAAAATTTTACTTATTCGACTACTTCTAAGCTTACTTTTTTGAAATTGAATTTGACTACCTTCTCCACAATCAAATACCCAAATATCTCCATTATGCCGTAAAGCTAAACATGATGAACTTCGATTTGGAGATGGGTAAGCAGAGCCAGTACCAAGAAAATGTAGTTCCATTTTAATTTATTTTAACCATAACCAATCAATAATCTTGATAAAATAAACATTTTTTAAAAAAATTCTAACTAAAATTTTATATCTAAATGCATTAGAAAATATTTACAAATTTTAAAGAAATTTTATAATGCCCTAAAACTTTGACAACATTTAAGGAGCTTTATGACCAAATAATTTTCATGACACATATCAAATTTTTATGACATCCAAAAATTTTTTACAAGATCAAAAAACTTTTTATGACCCTTATTTAAATATAAGACATTACAATAGACATATTGTTTGTTAATTTTTTTTTTTATCAAATATATTTTATACAGTATAATTAGATGAATAAACATGAAATGTATAGGAAACTCCATTTTCTATCTGCTTATTTTTATCAACTTCCTCATCATCAATTTCTTTGAATTTGTTTGTATCAAAAATTGGATAGAAAACATCACATGAATAATCTTGTTCAATTTTTGTCAAGTAAATTTTATCACAAAACTTTTCCATTGCTTCTTTATAAACACGGGAACCGCCTATAACAAATATGTTTTCAACTGTGTTTGCATAAAACTCATCAGATAATCTTAAAATTGCTGCTTCTAAGGAGGACTCTAGTAAGACGTTTTTTGGATAATCCTCTTTAATAAATGAGCTACTTAAAATAACATTTAAACGATTTTTTAAAGGGCGATGTTGTTGTGGTATTGAAAACCAGGTATTTTTACCCATAATAACAGCATTCTGCTTTCCTTCTGATATTACCTTAGTGGTTATGTTTTGAAAAAATTTATATTCTCTTGGTAAGTTCCAAGGTAACTTGCCTTTCAATCCAATTCCCCACTCTGAGTCAATGGCAGCAATGCAATGTACTTTCCTTAGTTGAACCATTACTAATTCAATGAAAGAAAAAAAAGTTAGAATTATATACATATATACATAATTGAAAATTTGATAACAGAAATATATATGGTCTAGGTAGCATTAATTTAGTAATAATTTTTAAATAATTAAAAACTTTTTAACAACATGTTTCATCAATATCAATTGACATCATCAGGTATAGAACTTTTAAACTCAGATAAGAATATTTACAAACATCTTGATTTATCACAAAAATGCAAAAAGTCAACAAATCTTGATTGCTCTTCCATTATTAACAAAGTTCCCTCCAAGTATGAGCTCAAAATTAACAAATATTGAAAGGGAAAAACCTCTTCTTAATACACAATTAAAATCATACTCTATTACTATAACAATATAATTTCTCAATTATTTTACTTTTTATTTCCTATTTTGTTTATTATAAATTACTTCATACCTTTTGTATAATCTTTTACAGAATTTCATGGTAATTTATTTTATAAAATGTAATTATGGTAACTATTGTAAAAACTATTAAATTTTTAATGTAGCCATAAAAATTTTTTATATACAGATATTGTAACTAATTTTTTATAGCTGATGATTTCAATTGATATCGATGAAACATGTTGTTAAAAAGTATTTAAAAAATTGTTATTTATTTGAAATTATATATATATATATATATATATATATATATATATATATATATATATATATATATATATATATATATTATATATACATATATTATATATATATATATATATTGTATATATATATATATTATATATATATGTGTATATATATATATATTATATATATATATATATATATATATATGTATATATATATATATATATATATATATATATATATATATATATATATATATATATATATATATATATATATATATATATATATATATATATATATATATGTATATATATATATATATATATATATATATATATATATATATATATATATATATATATATATATATATATATATATATAATGATTTTAAGTAATTTTCTGTACAGAAAAGCATTAAACATAAAAAAATTAGATTCCCTTGCTTGCCTCAGGTTTATTCCAACCATTTTTTTGAATAAACCGACAAAATTTGCAAATCTATTTTTAAAAATTTCGCTTTTTTTGAGACCCAACATAAAATACTTTTGGAGAACTTTTTTTTTTTATAATATTAGGGGCCTATCTGATGTTTAAGAGACTATAAATATTTTTTTTTGAAGATTTTTTAACTCCAGTATTATGTTATTAAATAGAACATATTTAGGGTTATATATACAGGGCCGGCGCGAGTAGGTGTCACGTGGGGGAAGGATGCCATTACAGCTTAAAAAAAAAAAAGGTCCCCGTTTGCCGACTGCCATGACGACTTACCTATATCGAAAGGGTCCAATTTGCCGAATAAAAATCATTGATGGGGGTGTCACACACCCCTGTACCCCCCTATCGTGCCGGCCGATGTATATATATATATATATATATATATATATATATATATATATATATATATATATATATATATATATATATATATATATATATATATATATATATATATATATATATATATATATATATATATATATATACAAAAAAATTACATGATTGTTTGTAAATCCACACAATTAAACATGCTCCTAGAGCCATGTTTTGGTCAGTTATTAGTAGAAAACGCATTGTTAATGCACATTGAAACAATACACATTGTGGAATTTTGAAACAAGACTAATACAAAAAAGTTATTAAAACCCGTCTCTTACCTCAATTAAAGTGGCCTCAAGCCACTTCGGCTTGCCAAACAAAAGAATAAAATATTTATGCAAGATGGAGCCCCATACCACACTGTTTAATCAATATAAAATTATTAGCATTTCTAAAAATTCCACTTTTCGATTGGCCAGGGAACTCCCAGATCTAAAACCCATAGAAAATGTATGGAAGCTATTAAAGAGAGAAGTTTTGCTAGAAAAGGTTACAAATAGACCCCAATAGATTGAAAAAGTTATTTGAAATCGGAACTATTACGCACATTTATAAAAAACCAAAGAAAAAAAATTGTCTTTAAATTGCATTTATTGCATGCCAAATTGTCTGGATGCAGTTATAAAAAATAAGAAAGGATCAACAAAGTGTTAAAAATTCATATTATTAAGCATATTCTTCTTGTTATTTTGTGTATGATGTGTTAGAAAATAGTTATAATTTATTTATATATAAAGTTTTTATCTGTATTTTTATAAAAACATAAGTTTTACTTTTAAAAAGATAAAAAATACAAAAAATATCAGCATGACTGATAATTTGATATATATATATATATATATATACATATATATATATATATATATATATATATATATATATATATATATATATATATATATATATATATATATATATATATATATATATATATATATATATATATATATATATATATATATATATATATATATATATACTGTATATATATACAAATCAATTATTAGTAACTATTGCCCTATTTTTGTTCTTTCGACCTTTTCAAAAATTTTAGAAAGAATTATATATAACAGAGTATTTAAATATTTTCATGTTAATAAATTACTTAACATTAATCAGTTCGGTTTTAAAAAGGATAGCTCAACTAAACATGCAATTATCTAATTTGTACGTAAAATCTCAAAATCATTTGAAAAATCACAATATACTCTAGGACTTTTTATAGATCTATCAAAAGCTTTTGATACGGTTGATCACCAAATTCTAATCTATAAACTTAAACACTATGGAATAAAAAATAAAGTTTTAAAATGGTTTGAAAGCTATTTGTCAAATCGTAAACAATTTGTTCCGAGTAATGACGCTTATCATACCAATTGTCTTTCTATAACATGTGGAGTCCCACAAGGCTCAGTTCTTGGTCCACTCCTTTTCCTAATTTATATTAATGATTTAAATAAAGCCTCAAAACTAACAAGTATTATGTTTGCAGATGATACTAACTTTATCTTTGAACTTTTAAAAACAATGAACAAAGAGCTTATACATGTATCGAGTTGGTATAAATGCAATAAGTTAACTCTAAATTCTAATAAAACAAAGTGGACCTTATTCCATTCGCTTTCCAAAAAACGATATTTGCCATTAAACTTACCTAAAATTTTTATTGATCAAAATGAAATAAAAAGGGATTCCGTAACAAAATTTTGAGGTGTTTACCTTGATGAAAACATCACTTGGAATCATCATATCGACTACATAAGCACTAAAATTTCAAAAAACATAGGAGTTTTTATATAAAGCACGAATCTACCTCAATAAGAAAACTTTAATCAAACTTTATTATTCATTCATACACAGTTATTTAAATTATGCTAATATCGCCTGGGGTAGTACAGAAAAAAGTTGCAACGTCTTTATCGCCGTCAGAAACATGCTATCCGTTTAATCTGCTTTGCAAATCGCTTTTCTCACGCAAAACATTATTTTATTGAAATGAGAATTTTAAATATATACGAGCTAAATATATATAATGTTTTATGCTTTGTATAAATGTGGAAAAATGACTTGTCTCAATCTGTCTTCAAAGATATTTTTACTCCGAAACCCATCAACATATACAATTTGAGAAATACTGATTTTTTAAATGAACCTTTCTGTCAAACAAACTTTAATCAATTTTGTATTGTCTATCGGGCACCACACCTTTGGAATAAAATTGTTTTGCCCAATTTTGATTTTGAACTACCTATTACTTTTTCCTTTTTTTAAAAGTAAATTAAAAACCCTAATTTTTTCATTAGAAGACGTATTATGTTATTATTAATAATATAAATTAATAACTTTGCCTTTTCTTATTTATATTTGTAAAAAGTTTATTCTTACTTATTTTGTTGATTTTATATTCTTTACTTAACGTATACGTTTATATAAAATATTGGTGAGTAGATCCGCGTGATCTCTCTTTGGATTATAAAATATATATTTGGGTTATATATATATGAAATTTGTAAAAATTTGATACTGTTAATGCTTGTTTGAACTTATTTAAGGTTCTGACGACAAGATCCTTTGATCTTCTTTCAGATACCTTATTTTATATTTGTGAAAGTTTATTATTATTATCATTATTATTTTTTTTTTTGGCAATATATAGTTGTAATACGACCAACAAATGTAAAATTAAATATATATATATATATATATATATATATATATATATATATATATATATATATATATATATATATATATATATATATATATATATATATATATATATATATATATATATATATATATATATATAGCTGAGGTAGAACTGCTATGCAGTACACCCGGACATTTTAATTTTAGGATAGTATCTTATAGGATCATATCTACGCAGTCGGAAAGTCGCGGCGAAAATTATAAAGTAAATTTTTAGAGTTGTCTGTATTTTATTATTCGGTCTTATTTTTATAAGACTTTTCATTCTGTAATTTTAACTCAAAATACAGGTTAGGTATCTTTTGGATGATCCAAAAGTAGGTTTGCGATTTTGAAGAAAACACAGACCAAGAATGTTTTTGATTTGCGCTATTGCGCTATTGCGCATGCGAAATTTTTGTAAACCTACTTTTGGATCATCCAAATTAAACTTTTTCAATATCGCTGATATACCAATTCATTTTTTACAAATTCTTAAATATTTTTGATAGTAGAGTGAAAGAAGACAGCTCTTCCATCGCTTTTAAACATTTTTTAAGTAATTTTTTTCTTTTATATTTTCGCCTTACTCTTTAGCAGTAAGTTTTTCGAATTTTTGTATATATAATATTTTTGTATATATAACATGTCAGTGACAGAAAGTTGCTACAACTATTTGATACAGCCTTTTTTAATTTTATCTTTATATATAAGTTCAATTATATATTTATATCAAAACAAAATTTGGATTGTTTATATATTTGTTTAACAAATACATATTTCTATTTTTCTAGTTTAAACTTTTTAACAAAATAAATTATGTCAAATATCGGATTAAGTATTTATTATTTTCTGCTTTAGCAGTATTTATAGTCCTCTAGTCTTTGATATTTAAGTAAAATGTGTAGAAGTTTTTTAGTTCTTTTTTTTTTCCAAACAAAAATTTTTATATTTGTCTAATAGTGACTAATTTAAATCAAAAAAAAAATATTTTGCAGATAAAAATAATGAAAAGTTAAATAACTTTTTTTAAGAAATATTCTAGAGATATTCTAGGGAGTCCCATATTAAGAAATACTCTTTTAATTTGTAGTACACTTAATGTTCAACGAGAAAATTACAATAAAGTAATAATAAAATAAAGCAAAAAGCATAAACTGTCAATAAAAATCCTCAAATCTCAAAAAATCCTCAAAAATCCACATTTAAAGTAAAAGTTTATACAAATTTTAAATTAATAGTTTAATTTTTATATTAGATTTTAAACCAAGTTTTTAATTGTTGTTATAATTAAAAGTTACTTAAGCTTTATGCAAGTATATGTTTATGTATTTATTTTGCTTTCATAAATGATGCCTACCTTGGCCATATTTATGGCACCATATCTTTTTGGTAATTTTGAATATTAAAAAAAACTAACAATTTGAAGTCAAGTGCTTTTACCTATATAATCCACAAGCACCCCGCTAATCAAAAATTCCAAGAACGTTTTGATTAAGTGTCATATCCTACTTGTTACATTGCCATTTTATGGATGTTTCTTTTAATAGCGCACTCAATCAATAATTATCTGAGACCATCTAGACCAATCAATAGAAAATATTATCCAGACCAATCCATTGAAATGTAGCAAACTGTCATTGAAAGACTTGTCCTACGAATTTTTTGCACTATTTTTTATTTTATTTTAATAAAGTCACTCTTAGCGGAGCAGTAAGCCACCACTAATTAAGTTTCAGGTTAAGTAAAAAAAAAAAGAAAATGACCGACAAAAAAACATCATCCAGATTTGACCAGAAATTTTTTCTGGTACTATACCAGTGTTACTTCTACAAAATTGTGTTGTATAAAAAAAAGTTATAAACTTACTTTAGTTTTATTTTTAATAAATATATATATATATATATTATATATATATATATATATATATATATATATATATATATATATATATATATATATATATATATATATATATATATATATAATGTAAAGGAAATCACAGAATAAATATTTATGTCTGGATAAATATTTGCGTGTTTGTTTGTATATGCAAATTAAAATTATTTCAATCTTTTTTTAGTCAATATGCGTGTCCAAATAGTAGTTGTAATCTACTAGACCAAACCACAGATGATGAAGATTTAACTCCAACTTTTGGATTTTCACATATTTTATATTTTAAATAATACTTTTTAATTTGTTTAAAACACTAGCATTACAAAAGTTTAATATAGTTTTTAGTTTTAGTTTTTAATTTTTTATAAAACTTTCAAGATTTTATTTACAGTTTTTGTTTTATTAAAGTTATTTAGTTGTATCATTGCTTATGATAGTTTAAACATGTATAAATATTTTTGTTGTTTTTGTTTCTTAGTATGCTTGTTAGGCAGGGCAACCATATTGTTGGGTGAATTTTTTTTTAATGTTTTGCTAAAGTTAATAAGTTAATATTATAGTAGATTATAGTAAAAAAAGTAATTATATTAGGTGATATTTCTCTTTTACTGACTTAAATTTAAAATATACAAAGTAAAGGCATAAAGATCAAAGAGTAAACATTTAGTTAATAAATTGTTCAAATTAAAAAGTAATTTATGCAAAAGCACGTTTCAAAAAGATGTTTTCAGATTTAGTGCTGTATTAGTTAAAGATTTCATTAGCATTGCAATATGGCGCTTAAAGTTTTGATTTCTTTGTATAATCTGAAATAGATTATAATAGATATAAGTTATAAAATTTATAGCTTTTATAGGTTATGAAATTTATAATAGATGTAGGTTATAATAAATTATACTGAAATTTATAGGTTAAGCTTAAATTGTGAAAGTTTTATTTAAACATTAATTCAATCAAGTGATTTATTCAAAAGTGATTTTCTATAAATCTGTTTAAGTTGAATTTTATAGTTTTTATAGTTCAATTTTAGTATTAGACAGTTTTTTAATATATAAAGTAATGAAAACATCTGCTAACGATGGTAAGTGTTGATTAAATAAAGTATTGTAGTTTATAACTTTTTAGTTTATGTTTAGTAGAAATTTATATGCATATCTTTATCATTTGATAGTTTATTTTAAGTTAAAACTTTACTTTTTTTAGCATCAGACCAGAGATTTGGTAAGTTTCATTACTTTTAATTTGTTTTGTTTTTAACTGCAATCTGGAATATGGTATCAATTTTTTTAAAAAAATTTGTGTTTAGCACTAATATTTGCAGAATTAGCCGCTTTAAGAGCAGAATTAAACAAAGGTAATGTTATTAATATAATTATTTTGTTTTTTAGAGAGAAATAGTTAAGGTCGTCATTTTTGGGTTCTTATCACATTTTAAGTATCCACTTTATATTTTGATAAAAAGGATAATAAAAAAAATGATTGTGTATCTTTCTACGAAAAATATGTTGCCTGACAATTTATGCACCTATATATATATATATATATATATATATATATATATATATATATATATATATATATATATATATATATATATATATATATATATATATATATATATATATATATATATATATATATATATATATAATGCATACATACTTTTATAATCTAGTTTCGTTAATTGTGAAATTCTTTTTCTGTTGTAGTTGTGAAATTTGAATATTTTTTAAATTTGTTGTTTTTTACTTTTAGATAGGAACTCTAAAGGTTTGTAAAAAATGATTTGTTTAAAGATTTTAATATTTCAAAGACACTGTGTATGTGTATATATATATATATATATATATATATATATATATATATATATATATATATATATTATATATATATATATATACACACACATATATATACACACACACACACACACACACACACACACACACACACACACACACACACACACACACACACATATATATATATATTGTTTATATGTTAGTCTAAGGAGAGTGTAGAATCTAGGGAGACACCTAGGATTCTTACCGAATTTGCTGTAGTTTGTGCTGGTACAGAGAATTTAATTTTTCAATCATTTTTAAATTTTTCCAGTATTTCCTAGATCCATATAAGATAGCTTCTGTTTTGCTTTTGTAAAGCAGAAGTCCATTTTCCAGAAACCATTTTGTGACTGCATTCGCACATTCTGTGATTTTGTTAATGTTATCTTTTTCTGTGTTAATGAAAGTATATAATTGGGTATTATCTGTAAGGATTTTTGCCATGTTTAGCTATAATATGATAGACAGGTGAAACAAACATCAACAGGTGTGGTACTCTTGTTGCTCACTGACAATCTAGATTTTGATAAGCCATCTATATACATAAATACATATATATATATATATATATATATATATATATATATATATATATATATATATATATATATATATATATATATATATATATATATATATATATATATATATATATGTATTTATGTATATATATATATATATATATATATATATATATATATATATATATATATATATATATATATATATATGTATTTATGTATATATATATATATATATATATATATATATATATATATATATATATATATATATATATATATATATATATATATATATATATATATATATATATATATATATATATATATATATATATGTATATATATATATATATATATATATATATATATATATATATATATATATATATATATATATATATATATATATATATATATATATATATATATATATATACAGATGCATCAAGCTTACCAACTGATCAGGGTTCTTCAGTCATATCAACACCTCCGGCTCAGGAAGAAGTCAACAACCTCTCTAGTTCAACAAGTAAGTAAATTGTTAACAATTTCAAACACCAATTAATTACTATTGAAAATGGTTACAAAAATTAAATCCATTTATCAAGTTATGGTATTAATCACCTAAGGTAGAACTGGGAGCCGCAAGGGTCGCGGACAAGGTGGCCGAGGAGGTGGCGGTAAAGGGTCTTTTGTACTAGGGCGTTTGTGTTTTCAGCTCTAGTTTTTATTTTATGTGCAGTTTTATACTTATTTATGTTGATGTTGTTGCTTTATAATTTTATATATGTATTTTTTATTTGAAGTAAAAAAGAACAACATTTCTTATTTAACCTTCGTCGTTAATGCATAGGTAATTTATTCTGAAATTTATGTTTAAATAAAAATTTTTAATATGCCAAGCTATACTTAAGTGAAGCTTAGCTAACGTCAACTGTTATCTATACTTGCTAAAATGTTTTTACTGTTGCTACCGTTCACTTGTTCACATCTTGATATTGATGCTCAAGGGTATAGAGTTTTTTTTGTATGATACTTATAATTTTGTTTTTGAAAGAAACATATTTAAAAAGTTTCATGTGTAACATATTTATGTCTACTTACATTAGGAATTTAAAATGGTTTTTAAATTCTAGAATTAAAATCTCAAATAAAATAATCATCTTTCAGTGTAATAGATAACCCTCCTTTATTAAATTAAAGCGTATGAATACACCTGTCGACGGGTAATCGCCCGTTGGTTACTGCTTATGTAGCTATGTATGTACAATGATTTCCTTTACGTAAATCAGATACTTAAAATATAATCATTTTAAGCTCTTACAAAGAAATTCAAGTTAATTAAGCAAATTATATTTAAAATCTTTTAAAAAGGTATGAAATTTCGGTAACGGAAAAAGTTGATAAGATTTTTTTGTTAATTTCTGCAAAAAGTTGATATACAAAATGTTATATGAAGATAGAGTACATCAACTTGTAGCATGTAAATGTTTTGTAAAAGACGCCGCGCGTCATTTACAAAACGATAGTTACATGACATCTCACAAAACAGTGGATACGCAAGTATTTTGAAACCGTAATTGGGGTTTGTGTAACCGGACACTTGAAGCAAAATAAAATTTAGAAAGCAATAACAACAGATATGATATCATTTACTTGAATATGATATAATTGACTGTTTAAACGTACAACTTTTATAAAAACTATTGTTTTTTTTAATGAACCTTTCAACGAACAAGCGGGTACACAGGCACCCGCTTGTTCGTTGAACGGGTACCCGGCTATATATTTTCGAACGACCTTTCGCAATTTTCGAACGACCTACGCTTTAACTCACTGATAAAAATTCTAATCCGCCTGTTTATTTACAAACATCTTTTTCATTCTCATCAACGTGTTTATGAATACTCATATATATTAATTTCATAAAACAATTTTAAAAGAACATTTTAAGAGAACACTCAGCAAACATTGCAACATTTCTGGTTTAGTTGCAATGCTTGCAACTAAACCAGAAATGTTACAATACTTGTTAATACTTTCCAGTTTTTCGCTCTCACGTGAGACTTTAATGAGCAATAAAATACTAAAACATAAAGTTCCAAATTTCTTGCTTGCATATATTTCTTCAAAATTCATAAAAACATTAAAATGACTTTGTTAAACCAAACTATGTAAATAAAAAAAAGTCAATAAATCGGTAGAACCAGACTGACTATAATCGACTATTGCTTTCTCGACTTGGCATTTTGTGTATGATTCAAGAGATAAAAATCAAATGTTAATTTTTATCTCTTGTACTCATTTCTAACAGTGAGCACCACGAGAAGGTAGCCAAGTTCCGCTCACCGCCCTAAAAAAAAAATCTAATTAAGAATAATAACACTATGGTGTGTGTGTGTGTGTGTGTGTGTGTGTGTGTGTGTGTGTGTGTGTGTGTGTGTGTGTGTGTGTGTGTGTGTGTGTGTGTGTGTGTGTGTTAACCCTAAAGGCTTATACCACAAAAGGCTATAAATCTTGATATGCCAATATTAAAAAGGTATAAGCAGTTTATGTCAAAATAAAAAATCTCATTTCAAATAAATGACATAAACAACACAATTAGGGTGTTCATACCAAATAAAAATGGCATTATATAAAAATGCCAATTGTAAAAATATATGCTAATATCAGATTGGTATAAACTTCTATGCCCATAATTTTGCATAAACATGCAAGATAATTTTGCATAAACATTAAATAATGAGTTATTAACTCAAGCGTTGTGTGTAAGTATGTGTGTATGACAGTATGATAGCATGTTCTTATTTATTTCATTGGTTTAAAAAATGATTATCAATATGCTAGCAAAGACAGATTTATTGAATTAAATAAGATAAAGTTATTATCATGAATAAATAAAAATCTATACCTAAATCTAAATAAGATTTATTAATAATAATTATTAAAAATCAATACCTGATGGTTAGTATAACAAGGTCATATATTAAGTAAGGAATAAACCTAATTTTTATTATTTCTTTGTTAAGAATGTCATGACAGTTTCAGATATTATACTTCATTTGTAGTATTAATGTCTGCTATACTGTTGCAATGCTGACAATACCAGAGCTCATCTTCTTGTTCATAAGCGCTCTGTGGAATTCTTTCACATTGCCGATGAAACCATTCTTTGCAAGTAAAGCATTGAGCCATTTGCCTACAAAACATGATAAGAATAAAATATTTTAGCATTATTTAGAAAAAATGAATTATGACTTTATAAATGACAAATTTTATGCCACCTGCTAAAAATGTTCTCATCTTTATGGGTCCAAAACATGCGACAAGAGCAATGCAAGCGTATACGAAAGTCCTTTGCTGCACATTTTTTAAACATAGCTGGATTGATTGTGGTAGGGAAGACATCTAACCGGTTCTTTAGTATACACATAAGGAGATGCTTTCTCATTTCACTTTCTTCAAACATTAGAGAAGTGGAAGGTATTCCCTTCACTTCAAGAATTTGTCTAGCCCAAGCAATAGCATACAGTCCACAATCAACACCATTAGTTTGTTGTTGAATAGGCAATACTTTAATCATAAGATATTTTTTATCACATTGTAAAATAGAGCATATTTGCCTTTTTGTGTCAAAACTAACTGCACCATGAAAAAGACTATCAAAAATATATATTTCTCCTGCAGCACAACCATATGTGGTCACACAAATCCAGTGGAGATTTCCATCATGAAGAACTTGGACAAATGGGGTGTTCGGATGGATGTTAAAAGCTAGGACTTGACCTTTAATAGGATCCTGCAGACCAACATCAATATCCAATTGCATAGACATGACTTGTTGACAATAATGAATAACTTTATCATTAAGCATTTCACCATTTTCTATCTCATTCATTTCTAAATTTCCAATCAAAGAAGATTTCAGATATTGCACACTCTGAACAGTCCTTTGAATATGGTTACCATCATCTTTTATGTTGCCTTCAAGCAACTCATTGCTATCATCAGATAATTTTTCATCAGTCTTTATTGAATCAATTGGAACTGTAAAAATATCACAACTTTCGTTTATGGAGTGATTTGTGATTATCTCAGAAAGTAAAGAAACTTTTTTTGTTACTACACTTATATCTGAGGCTGCTTTGTAAACATCATACTTGACACCAACTCGTTTAGTCATCTTCCTTTTTCGTCTAATTGGGAGATGACAAAGTCTAGTTGAATTAATTTCAGTCTTGCTCCAAGTATCTGGTTTATTATCTGGACGCAAAAGAATTCCATTTTCACTTGTAATGCTTTTAACTAAGTCAGTTTTCAATTTATAAAGCCCTTCAAACAACAGATCCACATTTTTTTGAGAGTTGCATAGATAAGACATCTGAGTGATTTCGCTTAATAGCTCACGACATGTTATTATAGAGTGACTACTTTGAATTTTATTTGGTGCAATCGTACTTTTAAAATTCATTCCTTGTACATTTGGAAACGGTTGAGGTTCAAGAGGTATAGACAATTGTGTTTCATGTCCGACAGCATTATTTTGAATACCAACATTGTTAGGATGAAAAAAATCTTGACATACTACAGAGGTTGCATGGCTATTTTCATCTGTCAATAAATCTAGGCTAAAATATGGTGAATTTCTGTATAAGCTACCAAATGCAGACCAGGAGAGATTTTCTTTTATAAAAATAGCAAAAAAATGCTTGCATGGATATGGACTACTAAACCAGGCAGGGCAAGAACAACTAGGCAAATGTTTATCATCACCAAGATAGCATTTATAGATTTCTCGACTATTTGAATCAAATGAAGCAACGTTGTATATCTTGTCAGTTACAGCATTAATGCCTTGTAAGTCAAGGCCTTTTAATGTATCAATTAAATGCATGCAATGTTTTACCAAAGGTCGTGGACAATCAATCAAATATGGCGGAATTTTTGCATTGTATTTTCTATATGATGAATGTGCCTTTTTATTTTTATCACAATAGCTAAATAAATTATCACAATTATTATGTTGATATAACAAAGACAAGTTAACAATTTATTATTAATTGTAATGCTGTGACTCGTTACATTCATCATTGTTATCTTTTTATAAAAATACTTTAATATATTTAATATACTATTCCATACACTTTTATATCTTAAATAATAACTCAACTAACTTGTCAAATTTGTGAGGAAGAAATTCTTCAATACAAATACTTAGCATAGCTGTTATTGAAGAATTCTTTCGTTTTTCTAAAAAACTATATTTAAAAGATTGATGCTGCCTCTCAGTTCCATTGTTAGTGTTAACATTCAGCAGGAGACGATCCTGTCTGTAAGCAAACACCCATCTCTAAAACATAAAATAAAAAAGTAAACTGTTGGTCAGTTAGTATGAAACATTGTGATAAAATTTTTAATATATATTTGTCAGGTGGTATAAATGTCTTTTTTGGCCAGTTGGTATAAAACACATAATCATCTAAAATTTTGTATAAATAAATAACATAAATAGCACAAAAAGCTTCAACTTTGCAACTTATAACATTAAATCTTATAACATTAAGTAGGAGCATAAGAGAACTCCATGGACCAAATTTCAATATAATCAGAGAAGGTATTAATAGGATTTTTTTGGAATTTTGGGATAAAAATTTATACTTTTCCATTTTTACTTAAAAAATTAGTTTATAAAAAAGTGTATTAAAAAATCAAATTTAATCACATCTTTTTTTTTTAAACAAACATGCAAACAAGATCAGAACTATGAGTTAATCTAAGAGTTAAAATAAAACAAAGGATTGATGACTCAATGAGTACATTACTGTTCATAAACATAGGAAGATCTAGATTGTTGCGATAATGATATATACAACTTATTCTATATACAACTTCACTTACCTTTTGGATAGGTAACCAAGTGTTTGTTAAATATTCAGCGAGTTTTTGGTGTATTTTCCATACTTGTGATTCCTGGAGCCCTTGAACTGCCTTTTGACAAATATCTTCTGTTTTTGCATGTGCAATATCACGAAGCATTTTCTTAACTTGATCTTTCACAAGGCAGCATCCATTTATGGTTTTTGACAGCCATCTTTCCCAAGCTTGCTCTCTGTGAAAATCACAGATAAATACTTTACAACCTAAGTAAAAGAATTTTAATTATGAATTGTTATAACAGTTTATAATTAAGCTTATTACACTTTTGTTAGTTACGTTATTAAGTGTAATTTGTTAGTCAAATGCTATTTTTGTATATAATTAAGTCCTAGAGACTTTTTGTTTATGTAAAAAATACAACATAGAGAAAATTATTAATTAATGATATAATTATTTACAATTTAGGTTTAACGCCCACACTTTTGTGGTTTTAACAGATCTACATGAAGTTACAAACAAATACATGGTGGGGATCAAATTTAAAACTTCTCGCTCTAAAGCAAACATTTTACAACAAAAAACTATTTTTTTAATCGTTTTTATTTATAAAAATTCTCAGTTAAAATATATTAAAATGAATATATTATAAAAAAAATATAAAAAAAAGTAGAGAGCCTATAAATGAATAATAAAACAATTTAAAAAAATGTAACAAATGTCATAAAAGTACAAAAGAAGATGAAAAAGAACCAGCAAGTTTTGAAGGAATTAGATTAAATGTGCTATATTTGAAATACATTTTTTTTTTTATTAATATAGTGATTTTTTTATTATTTAAAGATACTTTCCTTATAATTATGAACAGAAAAAATGCATAACTACAGAAATTCTTACCTGGAAACACATATTCGAGTGCATTTATTTCCTCGTTTGAATAATCTGTCATAAAAAACCTCGGTTAAATAATGGATTCCATTCTTTAATGCACATTAGTGCTTTTGTTATGACTTCTGTGGTTTCATTTTCACAAACAAAAATTGCAACAACTTGGTAATCAATGTTTGTTTTGACAACTAAAAAAAATAGCGGAAGGGCATATCTAGTTGTGCGATATGTTGCGTCTAAAAAAGCCAGTTCATTTCCACATCTATAGAGCAATTTTTGTTGCCATACATCTTGATAAACAAACAGTAATGAATTTTCAAGATTTAAATCATTGTCTGAATAGATTTTTCCTTTTGGTCTAAAATGTATTTTTGCATCTGGACAATATATTTTCCATTCATTAATCTTATCACGCAGACATTCTTGATCTATCATGGATCTGCGAAGATTATTTCTAGCTTTCTGCATATGGTTTGCAATAGTCTCATTTCGTGGGAAAAAACGTTTATTTGCTTTCTGTGGTAAGTTAAGTGAATTAAATTCCATATGCACATAAGCATCCAGAAGACGTCTCATTTCTGGAACAGAATTAACACCCTTTCTGACTAGCTCATCAATTTTTTTGATAATATCCTTAGATAAAGGTTGATTAAGACCTGCTTCCTAAAAACAAATATTTTGATAAATAAAAACCATAGACAATTTAACATTAATGTAATGGTAATACTTACATCTCCAATTGCATGGTCTTTATGAGAAGAAATGTCAGGTAATAATAAAATATATTTTCTACACATTGAAATGTTTCGGTTGGTAGCCAAAGCTGAGCGAAGTTTTTTTGACATTTCTTTTCTTAACCATATTGAATCCTTGTCCAGCTAGAACAAAGAGAACCAAGTAATTTAAAAACTGCTTAAACTATAAGTAAAATATATATATATATATATATATATATATATATATATATATATATATATATATATATATATTATATATATATATATATATCAAGACTTCTCATGAGACGCATCCCATCATACACCTTATTTGACCAAACATACAATTTTTTTTTGACAACTTGGCCACGCTTTTTCACACTGACTATTAAAATATTATATATATATATATATATATATGTATATATATATATATATATATATATATATATATATATATATATATATATATATATATATATATATATATTATATATATATATATATATAATGTTATATTGGCATTGGTTACAAACCTACAAACAAATATTTTTTTTATGTTTTATTTGCTTATAAAGCAAATAAAACATAAAAAAATTATTTGTTTGTAGGTCATTAAATAATCTCAAAATTTTCGATTTTTAAATAACTAAGTTTATATTAATTAAGCTAGGATCAAATAACTTTGAAACATCAATTTTTTTTTAATTCTTTGTAGTGTAACACTTTTAAATTAAAACAAAAAAACTTATTAATTTTTTTTGTTTTTTTTGTATTCATTTTAAAACTCATTAAGGCATTTTATTTATTTTTAGTTAGTTTTGCATTTTTCTCCTTTAGTTTTTTTTATTTTTCTTTCCAGTTTATAGTATTTTAATTTTAATTTTTAGTTTATATTTGTTTAAAAAAACCAAATTGTCAAAAAAAAAAAAAAAAAGCACCAAGTAGCAGAAACAAAATGAAACTCTTTTAAAACTAATAATTTTTTTATGTCCCGATGCATATTTTATAGAATACCTTAAACTCAGGAAACTCTACTACTTCTTTTATAAATACTTTTGCAGGGCAATCAAACTTCTTTGTATTTTGCAAAATAACTTTCTTTTTTTTGAAAGAATGATCTGTACCCTAATCATTAAAAATAAGTAATAGTTATATAACAATTATATACAAAAAAAACCTCATATGAAATATATCAAATTATATGACAAACTTTTAACAGAATAATTTTTATTATGAATTGGAAAAAATATTTAATACAGTATATTACCAGAATATATCTGATAATATGTTTATATGTTTATATATATATATATATATATATATATATATATATATATATATATATATATATATATGATATATATATGTGTGTGTGTGTGTGTGTGTGTGTGTGTGTGTGTGTGTGTGTATATATATATATATATATATATACAACCCTCAAAATTAGGGTCAACATTTGGCAATGCCGACCTGAAAGTGTTTGAGGTAAGCAAAAAATTGCTGACCATGTTTCTATGTTTTTCAATAATTTATGACCTCATTTTTTCTAATTCAGAAGGTTGTATATAATATACAGAGGCTAATCTTGACCAGTGGGTCAAGATTAGCCCCTGTATACATGCCCCAATTTGGGCACCGCCAAATTCGGTTGGCAAAATTATGGACTTTTTTTATACAGCAAATGTAGCTTTTTTCGTGAAAAATACCTACATTTAGCAATATTTCCGCAACGTGTCCAGAGCTGTCGTCTATACTTTCAAAATAATTTAACAAGTGATTATCAGAGTTTTGCTTTCCATCCTGCTGGAAAGCAGCATCTGTTATCCTTATTTTTAAAAATTCTGGAGAGCGATCTGACTCGTCTAACTACCGTCTTTTAGTCTTCTTCCTATCCTAAGCAAAGTTTTTGAGCCTTTAACTAACAAACATTTCATTTCTTATCTTGAATCTAATAACTTTCTTTCTGATCATAAATATGGATTTCCATCTTCTTGTTCTATTGCTGATTTGTTAACGGTAATTACTGATTAGTTTTATTGTGGGTTAGATAGATGTGGAGAGGCTAAGGCTCTTGACATTTTAAAGCTTTTGATAACGTTTGGCATGCTGGTCTTTTTCTTAACCTTTCTTCTTACGGTGTATCAAGTAACATCTTTAAGATTATTGAATTCTTCTTTATCAACCATAGTATAAAAGTTGTCCTTAATGAACAGCACTATTTTTCATTTCTAGTAACTTATGGGATACATTAAGGTTCTATCCTTAGTCCTGTTTTGTTTTGTATTTACATTAATGATCTTGCAGACAATTTCATGTCTAAAATAGCTCTTTTTGCTGATAACTCATTTTATATTCTTATCTTGGCAAAAAGTCTTTTCTTTTTGATTGCATAGAACAGGCAGCCAATCTTAAATCTGATTTCATTTCTATAACAGATTGAGGCTCATAGTTGCTTGTAAACTTTAACTCCAACAAAACTCAATTATTTACAGCAAACAACTATTGCAATTTTTATCAAAATTCCTATGTTACTAATCAGCTAATCTATCACTAAGTCCATTTACTATTGAACTTTCTCTTCTAGGCAAACTTTTTAAGTGCAAATAAAATTGATATTAAAATACTTCAAAAGTTGCTGAACAAAGCTATGAGACTTATTTTAAAATGTGATTGGTATTCACATAGTAAAGAAATGTTGGAGAAAATTGGATGTTTATCAGTCAAGCAGAAAATCATATTTAAGGTCTTGAATTTTGTTCATGAGGTAGTAACTAATCCAAATAATAAAATATATGTGAATATGTTCAGAAAAGAACAGTGACTTACATAAATACAATACCAGGAATGCAAATAATTTTCATATGGAAGTGAGAAACAATATAAGTGGGCAGAAACTAATTTTCTGTAATGAACTCAAGCTGTATAATTAAATACCTGAAGAAACAAAAAATATAAGAAATAAAAGTTTCAAATCAAGTGAGATAAAATTTATCAAAAATAAATGAACAGATTAAGGGTAGACTTATCAAGAAAATAGTGTCATGATTAGTGAATAAACAGGTGTAATTTTCAAATAATGATAAGAAGAAATTAGCATGAAATTGCTATCTTAAACAAGACAAGAACAACAACAATAAGTATAAAATATATATTAAATATTAAATGTAATTAAATCTATTAAATGCAAATAAACAATATTTATTGTGTCAATATATACTACTAAAACTAATTAAGATAAAATTGAGTAAGATAAAATTATTTAAGAAATTATTATACAGGACTGCTCCAACTGTGTTAACCTTTAAGCATACTAAAATATATAAAAATTCAGTAAATTTCAGTATTAATTGATATTAATATTTAAATCTGATATTAAAATATGAATATATAATTGAATTGCAATACGAATATATAATTAAATATACAATATAGAATAAGATATTACCATTAAAGTTAAATTAAGTAGCTTAAATAATGAATTTCCCAAATAAAACAACAAACCAGACCCCTGAGTTTTTTTTCCAAAAAAAAAAACAACATCTAAAACATTGTGCATCATTGTGTGACTTACTGCATTCTCATTTTTCTTTTTTAAATACTGTGCTTTTGTTGTCAGACCTTTGTCTTTTCCTTGTTGACAATCAAGAGTATTACATGTTAAAAAAATGAATGGGACTCCAGTAAATGGAAGATCTTTACTCTCAAAATAGATCTTGTGGTTTTTCTTCATTATATCTAAAGATAAATAAAAATTAAATATTTTTCTGTTTAAAATTTTGGTGATTTATTTAATTTTTTCAACATTAAAAATAAGATATTTAAAAATGTTAAAAAATGTTTTAATACATACATACATACACACATACATACATATATATATATATAAGAAATATGTATATAAGTGATGCAAACCATCAATATTATGTTCCATAGTTCGTTTAAATGCTACAACATAATGCACAGTATGTAACATTTCATGTTCTTTAATTTTGGCATAAACATCTGTTAATGTTGAAAAAATTTGCTGCACTTCACTGCCTGCAGTAGGACTTGACACTTTGACCAACATGTTTGGGTCTTGATCTATTAGTATGGCACATAAAAAAAAACTCATAAATAACCATAAAAGCTACAAATAGATATTGCAACATTTTACACTTTTATGCCCAACAACATTGTTGTTGGACATGGTTGTTGGGTAAATTTTTTGTCTAAGAACAAGTTTAATGATATTTAATGATAATCAACAAGCTGATTATCATTAAACTTGTTCTTAGACACAAAATTTAAAAACTTCAAAAATAAAGATTAAATTACTTAATTAAAGAGTTAAAGGAGAGTTAAAGTATTTTTAATTATATAGTAGTATATTA